TAGCAAAGAGATCAGCAAAAAAGATCATATCAAATTAAAATGCTTCTGCATTGCACAGAAACCAACAGAGTGAAGAGACAGTCTACAAAGTGGAAAAAAATTTTTACCAGCTAGTCGTTGAACAGCAAACTGACGTCTAGAATATATAAAGAACAACAACAAAAAAAATTAGAATGTGCTGAATAAAAGATTCAGTCAAAAAGTGGACAACCAAAATGATACGTATCTCTCAGAGGATGTATAAGTAGCCAGTAAATATGTGAAAATGTTCAACGTTGCTAGCCATTAGAGAAATGCGGATTAAAACTACATTGAGATACCATCAAGAGGATAAAACATGGAAGGAGAGGAGATACCATTTCAACCCAGAAGGAATGACTGCCATCCAAAACTGTAATAACTAATGCTGGTGAGGATGTGGGGAAAAGGAACTCTTCTTGGTAGGAATATGAACTAGCACAACTGTATGCAAATCAGCTTGGAGGTTCTCCCAAAAACTAAATAGAGAAATTACATTTGACTCACCTATTCACCTTGTAGGTATCTTCCCAAAAGAGCTAAGATCATTATGTTACAGGGATGCATACCCTTGTTTACAGCAGCACAATTTATAATAGCTAGATTTTGGAAATAGCACATATGATCATCGTTAGTGAATAAGGAAAATACAGTATTTATACACATTGAGGTATACTCTGCCATAAAGAACTATGAACTTCAGGTATTAGGTAAGTGATGCAACTTGAAAGCATAACGTTAAGTGAAGTAAGTCAAACACCCAAGCTCAAATATCATGTTTTCTCTTACACAAGAAAATATAAATTTAGACATCTGTATAGAAATTACCTATACTGCTATCTCAAAAATATTTTAATATATATGCAAATTCATTTATACCACTAGTTTTTTAATTCATTAAAAATAAAAATGTGTGCTATTATCTATTAGTTTCTTATCCTTTTTTTAAAATATGGGACATTTCATGAATTTGCGTGTCTTCCTTGCGCAGGGGCCATGCTAATCTTCTCTGTATTGTTCCAATTTTAGTGTACGTGCTGCCGAAGCGAGCACTAGTTTCTTCTTTTTAAGAGAATGTTTTTTGACTCAGTAACCACTTTGAAGATAACGATACGCAGTATATTAAATGTTACTATATTGTTATGAAAAATATTTTTTCATAAAATTAAAAAAAAGTCAAGCTGGTTATATAATACTCAGAAACAACCTTTGAAGTGAGCATATGTAACTTAACTACATGAGATGTTTTACAAACAACAGGAGAAAATTTATGCACATAGCATACGTACGTATATACAAAAGCCTGTCACTCAAAAAGTCCCAGCAAGAACAAGAAAAAAAGACATATACCGATTAAAAATTATAAAAGTTATAAAGTGTGTCATGCTGGGGAGGCCTCCAGTGTTCCCAGAATGTTTGTGGGTCACTGTGCTCCTGCCGTGGACAGGTAGCAACCTCTAGTGGCCTGTCGGGCTTCTGCAGTGGCTCTGTTGTTCTGTTTCCCTCTCCCCTCCCAGAGCGCTCCTTTACCGCTGAACTCCAGTTCCATCCAGACTTCACTGGCCCGCACCTCCCCTGTGGGTCAGAGAGGAAGCGGCAGTCCCACTCCTGTGTGCCCTTTGGTTCTGGTGGCTTTTCTGTCCTCTATTCCCAGGTCAGCCTAGCACTTGGCCTTGCTGGGTTTCAGTCTGACCTGGAATTTGAGTGGTTTCTGGAAATAGCCTGCACAGTCACTGGTTTGGGTTGTTTTCTCCACCCCATGATCTCCACATCCTAGTTGTTCAGCTTCCCCAGAGGTCTGTTCCCCGTCCATGAAGTCCGTGGCATTTAGGCATTGGCAGAAGAGAATCGTGTGTGAAATTCAGCAGTATTCGGGGAGCACAGGAGGAAGCTCACTGGGGTGCAGAGCTTGGAGGTGTGGGGGTGGTGGGAGAGCGCTTGGTCGGGTCCTGCTGTCTTTTCTCTGTCCTGGCTCCCACCTGTCATCCCCACTGTAAATCCCTGTAACACTCCCTGTCGCACAGATCGCTCAGTGCGTGGTTCTGGGTCCCTAACAAGACTGCCCTTTGTTCCTCTCCGTCTCTAGGTCTCCGGCTCCCCAGCCATACTTTAAGTTATGCCCTCCGACTGATTTGCTGGCTTTTGCTTTCTTTAGTCCTTTGCCTTGAGGAGACCTTCCCTTGGAAGGGCACCTTCTTCCCGGAGGTGGGAGTTGGGACAGCTGGGCCTTCGCAGGTGGCTGCTGGTCCGGACACCGATCGTCAGCCTGGCAGGTGCTGTTGTACCAGCTGCTTCCTTCAGGGAATTTGAACTTTCCCAAGATGCCATGTCCACTGGACTGTAAGCAGTGTCAGAATGTCTTGCTTTTCAATCAAAACACCCCTGTTACTGGATTCCATCTGACGGGCTTCTCCTTCAAGTTGCCTTTCCAGGATTGAGTTTTTGGGTTCCCCCCACCCCCATCTGAATACCTGTGTGTCTTGCTGAACGTCTCCTGACTGCTGCTGTCGTGAGTTCTCTTGCTCTCTTTTCTTATTTGAAAACCTTTTCCCAGCCTTTTTCTCCCTCCTGTCAGCCAGGTTATCTTAGTAAAACTTTCAGCTTGATCTAATTTGGGACAAATTAACTCTTCAGCATTTTGATTACTTGGAACAGATTATTGGCTTTTGTCTTGAGCACTCTTACATGAATTGTGTACTCACCAAAGGCAGTCACTCCTAGATATCTTAGTACAGTTCCATAATATGTATATTCCAAAAGTGTTGATATATACTAGTCACAACATTTTCATGGCCAAAGGGAATTTTCCTGTTTAGCTCTCATAGAACTAATAGGTATATAAGTATTTTGCAACTATGCCAAACTATTAGACAAGAAGTTAAACTAGGGGATGAAAAAAGGGTAGGGATGAAGAGAGAGCCGTTCATTTTGCTAAAGGATTCTTACCTTTATAAGTACATTTTGTTGAGAGTAACCTCTTATTATTTGAATCCTATCTGTTAAGACCACCAAGAACACTTCTGGTTGGTTGGTTAACATCTAGCATTGTTGATTTACAAATTCCATATAGTGCATGCTACTGGAAGCTGCAACCATGCACATTTTAAATCACTTTTAGGTCTGGAATATTCTTTGACTAACATGGCTAATGTATGTCTCATTTACTGTACTGCTAGCTGGCTGTCTTTACATTAAATGTAAACTGTACTACCCTTCAGATTTTGAGCCACCTGGCATAACCCTGAGCTGAAGTTCAGGGATGACCATGGTCTTAAGGTTTCCATCAGTGTGACTAAACTTAGACAAACAAACAAACCTGAAATTGTAAAATCTTTCTCTGCTCCCTTGAGTAACAGATTTCTTTCTAGTTTCTTACCAGTCTTTGACTGGACCCAGAGATCATCCCTTTGCAGTTTCTCATAGTAGCTGAAAGTGAAGGCTGCAGAGTCATAACTCTACCTGACTACACAAGCCACATAATCTCATCAAGATTTCGTTAAACTGGATAAAATATAGACAGTGATACCGACCTGCAGGACTTCAGGGAGGACGATTTGGGTTGGTGAATATGAAGCACCTGATGCATAGTATCCACTCCTTAAAATTTAGGCATTAGTTTTGGGTAATGACTACATGAAAAATTTCTTAATAGTGCTTCCCTTAAAATAGTACATTTCTCTGCTGTATTGCAGTATGATTCTGTTTCCTGTACTGCCAGTGTAAACTCCTCCAGATACCTACTTTCCAAAATGAAGTCTATTCTTGAAGCAAAGCGACAAATGCATCAGAAACAATCAAGACAAGCAGCTAGTTACACAGTAGAGTCCAAAGTATGTAGTTATTTACCGTAGAAAGATGGGTTACTTCTGAAGTAACATCAAGAAACACCAGCTGTGGGGGAGAGACAAACTCAAATATTGTCTATTTTTTCAGACAGTCTAGCAAGTTACATTCTTCAACAAATGGAAGAAACTCTGATTTTTATATTTTAAGTTCAAGATATCTTCCACTTAGGCTTTCATAAAACCAAAAACTTAAAGAACTAATATCCAAATACTGAATTTTCTTTTGATAGGTACTATATTTTAAAATGCAGGTTATAATACTTTAATTTCTTGAAGCTACATTTTGAAGCATTGCCCAAACTCCTACGTTTTAAAGAACTACATGTGAAGCAACACATATATATCTGAAAACAGTACAATTTTCTGATTCCATATCATAGAAATGTCTCGTCAAAATATTTCTCCATCCAGTGTTTGCTATATCCATAAAATTAAACCCCCACTCCTCTCTCTCTCTCCAAAAGTAATCTTAGAAAAAATACACTTAAATTACTATGTGATATTTAACAATCTATATTCCTGTTTGGAGACATTGCTTGCAATTTTGATTTACAAAGATAACAGTGAAGATATGGATCAGTCTGAAAGACCAAAAGTTTTACATTGATGCTCCAGTCTTAAATACAGATAAAATAATATTTTGTTTCGTTTGGTTTTTGTTCTTCGGGTTTTTTGTCATCTCTGATAGTCTATTTACTGTCTTTGTCCTGTATGAAGACTTACAGCACTAGGTTTATATTTTTACTCTCATCTCTTTTCCTTGCTTGAAACAGTTTTTTTGTTTCAAAGAGGGGTTACAAAAAAAGGCAAAGCCTCATAAGTTATGCAAGTACAGATAAAAAAAAAAAACACCAAACATATTGTGGTTTATGATGTCTAGCTACCCCACCTGGAGAGAAAAATTTAGGAGCAAAATTTAAAAATCTGAGTCAACTCAAATAATATATGGCTATGATGAATTAAGGATTTAGTTAGTGTTATGGCCCCCAGTTGTATATATTATATCCTAAAATACCATTTGGTTTAATAAAATATAGATTTGAGGCTGTTCTTAGTATCAGTTTCCTAGGCTTAATTATAAAGGTTATGTTTTCAGAGAACAAAAGCATTATTCATTTGTCTGTTCCTGTCTTCTAGGTTTATCTTGCAGATTATGGACTTTCCTACAGATATTGTCCCAATGGGAACCACAAGCAGTATCAGGAAAATCCCAGAAAAGGCCATAATGGGACAATAGAGTTTACTAGCTTGGATGCCCACAAGGGAGTAGGTGAGTGTCTTCGTTCTTTTTCTAATTTTTATTTCAGAAGAATGATTAGAGTCGAGTAATAAAGCTGTATGAAATGACCTTTATATAGTAATCTGAAGAATGAGGACATTGGTGAGATTTTTATGAAAAGTAGTGAATTCCTGTTACATCAATGACTATTTCTTCTCATAGTGGACTGAGATACAGAATCTGACAAGTAAAGAACAAAAAGAGTATAAACAAAACCTGATGTTCATTCTGCCCACAAAAGTCACTAGTTTGTGTATGTTAAACCTGGTGGTCACTGCTGCATTTTTATGCCATTGTGAATATCACAGATTGGAAAAGATGCGCATGTGGACCTTCTCAGAGGCATCTCTCAACAGGCTCTCTCACCTAAAAGTGTAAAGTGTTAACTTGGGGAAATCTCTTCTCGTCGCCTTTCATATATCTTACTTATTTAAACTCCCTTTGATGGTATTGGAAACACATTTGCAGGTAAATTACATACATAGCCCTTTTATTGGATATCGATTGGACTGCCTTGCATTCCAAGGCAGACTTAATTCAACAATTCCCTAATTAGTTAAAGTCATAACCTATGTCTTGTATTCATTTACCATTAATTAAACCTTAGCTGTTTATTACTCTGCAGTCCAAATCCAATAGCCGGCCCAGGAAGCCATGGAAAAGGAAGGAGAAGGTCAATATTGAAAATATATGGTGCCGAGTCCCAGGGATGGTTGCTTTGTTCACAATCAATATGGTCAATGCAACTGTACTTTCTTGGTTGCTCAGTCAGCAAGACAAAAAGTCAATTCTAATGTTATGCTAGTGAAAAAAGGTGATTATTGAAAAACTTTGGTTTTCAAAACTATATTCTTTGTTAACTTTGTTTATAAAAGTATTTTCAAATATGCCAAACAAATAATTTTAAAGAGCTTTGAAAAGACCACATTGTGGGTAAGAGGAAATGAGACACTCCATGCTTGCTAGTAGCAGAACTTACTCCTCTAAACTGAAACTTTGTAACAAGTTGTAGTTGGCACAAACAACTGTATGTTACTGCCTTTTCTATTAAAAGGACCACTGACCATGTAATGTAGAGGCTCTTGATCATTTTCCAGAGCAATTAAAACTCATACTAGTTTAAGGTAAGTCTATGAAAAAGTGACACAAGTGTGTCACTTACATACCTTCTTCTTGGCAGGAAGAATCTTAGGTTACACTTTTCTAAGATAGAAACTAGCTTTTGTGCTCTGTAACAGAGTAAAAGGAAACACTACACTTATGTCAAGTAGCTTTGGTAAAAAAATAATGATCACTCTGAAACTGAGCGGAGTTGTTAATTTTTCACATTGTTAATAAATCAGTGAGCATTTAAATGTAAAATAGGATTGACTTTGATTAAATTAAGATATGTAACAAGTGAGGTACCCTGTTGCAGACTGTAATCCCAGCACTTTAGGAGGCTGAGGCAGGAGGAGCACATGTTTGAGCCTAGCGTGGGCAATTTAGTGAGACTCTTGTCTCAAAAAAAAAAAAAAAGAAAAATGTGCTATGATGCAGCTGAACAGGAAGACCCGAGGTTCAGTCCTCGGTACCACAAAGAACAAAACAACAAAAGGTACATAAGAATCCATTGATCACACCTGCTGATTGTGTTTATGTTGTTTTGCCAGATTTATTTTTGTGATATCTGATAGAATACTTGAAAAACTGAGAGCACTGTTTATGTAGTTTTATAACTGGAAATTCATCATGTAGATCCCTTAGCATTGGTCCAGTTTTGCTCGCAATGGTGCTAACTTAGATTGGGCCACTTGTTTAAACTGATGGCTCCAATACTGATTCATTTTGGTCTGGGATATTTAAATATCTAAAAAGGCACTATGACTATAGAGAGGAAGAAGAGATATGTGTTATTCTAGCCAAAGTTTGGGCAGTGGTGATTCTGAGAGTTCTCTTTAGTTACTCTGTGGTTTGGAGTTTCCATTATGCTGTCTTCATAAAAGATTTGAACACACTGTAATCTGCACTCCATTTAATATTTTTCTTGGTTACATTATAACATATGTTGACAAATCAGGTAGACTTCAGCACTCTAGGTCTTTAGAGGAAAAGACTGAACTCAGAATGATCATAGAAAGATGATATTATGTGACTATAAGGGACAATCAGGGAAAAGCACACATGAAATATTTTTGGTATTTGGTACAAAGTTTTATGCTAGAATGAATATTCTTTTTTTATCCAAGGTTGTCCAGGATAAAGTGGTACATTTCTTAATGCATTTTAAATATGATTACTTTAAACTCTTGGGAATAGCTGTGTCTTCATATAAATATATTCATGTATATATGCACATACATACATGTATATACATTTATATGTAGACATGCGCACACATATTCACTAAAAGCTTAATATAGCATTTTAGTGTGGCATATAAAATGAAAGGTTAGATATCGTCAAATACATGAATGCCCTTCATTCTTAGTATTCTTCATTTAATTTTCCAACATAAAATATTTCAGCTTGATATTTTATTAGAAATGAAATAATCATTTAGCCAGATCGGAAAACTAGAATAAACAGGGACATAAATCCTGTAAGTAAATGCAAAAGGTCAGATTCATAAATATTCATATATTTACTTTTAGTACAATCACTATATAGTTTAGTCTCAGAAAAAAAATCTTCTGTCCCATTCCACCTGTGAATAAATAATGATGAGAGCTAATGCAAAGAGCATTAGGAATGAAAAAAGGGTCATCGCCATGAAGCAGAACTTCTGTTTCCGAAGCTCTTTCTATACGTCAGGTGTGTTGGTGATTCCAAGGAAGAGACTCAGGACTTAGAGTGAGACTGACTTAGCGGTTAGCCACCATCAGAGAACCTTAAGCGAGCTGACTGTGTCAGTTTTGCTACTTTTTATAGTGGTTATTCAGAAAGTAAAGCTAAACTTTGTTTTCTTTTGAATTATGTTTTTATAATGAAGGAGTCGGTACTGTTCAGCTCTCTCTCCTAAGATTTTTCTGATTCAGCTTTATATAAAGGGAAAATACTTGGGAGGGAAACAAAGAAAAATCATGTGGTTATTAGTTTGTGTCATTAAAACCTAAAAATACTTACAGAGATACATGGAGATGGATGGAAAGGACGGGTGGAAAGATGACTAGCCCTGCACCATCACACATCTGGATGTCTGCATGTTTTTAAACACTGCAGTTATTCCCCTACACTCGCTTCTCTTATGTAACCCAAAAGTATTTTCTTAATGGCTGAATTGCTCCATTGGGTGTAAAATTAGACTAATGTGTCTCTGACATATTTCTTCCATTAATTTTTTACTCTTCATAAAAAGTAGCATATATAAACATTGACATATTTTGTTCTTGTTCCATGATAATTAAAGAGAATTGTATCCGTGTCAAACATACTATTTTAAAATTTGTTACATTCTTAGTAATGTTAAAATGCAATATTTGGATCAATGTGTGATATGGATTTTTGTAGGTTTTTCTCCTCACTGAGGCATGCAGTCAATACCTAATTTCTCTGGAGATATACTGCATTTAACATATTGAGCTTTTTTAAATACTTCAAACCTAGGCATTGAGTGTATAATACCTGTTTTAATTTGACATCATTGATGACCATAAAATATGATATCTAAATTGCATTTTAAATGTCCATTTGTTTATGTAATATATTCAGTGTCAAGGAAATAATTATATTACGTACATTTTCATTTTTGCCAAGTGCTGTAGTATATGAAATCCAAGTCTTGGGTTATTTTTTGCATGATTTCATTTCACTTTAGCACTCCAACTTTGAGAATGTATGTGAAATAAACTGAAAATGTATTTTCATGTTACCAAAGTTGAAGAAATAGCATGGTTTCCGTAATACTTATCTTTTCAAACAGTAATTCAAAATGGGTGCACATTTTATTATAAAATTAATCAAATATTGATATATATATTTCATTAGTAGGCAGAAAAATAGTTTCTTCTTTCAGGTAAATTTAGCTGGTATAAAATAGTTCCTGAGTAATGTATTGCTTCTATGTGGTATGTACCTTTTTTTGTAACAGACAGATGTGACTTTTACAGTCTTTACGTTCTCTTAGCTTTTTAGTTGAAGTATTCACTGTTTGTACCTAGTGCCCACATGTATGATATCTTTGCTCGGTTAAATAACTTTTGTAATCTTCACAAAGTAGTGCTTCATAAAAGAGGCAGGGAAAACATTTTTTTGCCCCCTTCAGCACTAGCAGTCCAAACAAGGGCCACGCGCATGCTAGGCGAGAGCTGTAACACTGAGCTACGCACATTCCCAACCCTAGGGCTCAGACTTTCAAAGGGACCATTAAAGAGAGATTTGGCTTTAACATTTTATTTGAAATATGATACCTTGCAGTATACTTTTCCTAATACCTTCTTTGAAATTTCAATAAATGGTAGTCACTGTAATAATTTCTAGGTCACTATACTTCCCAATTGACAATAATAGTGAGTGATATAAGATACCAGTTGGGGGGAAAAAAACTAAATTTGTTCTGAAGATAATTACTATTCACCTTGTCAGGTGATCCGAATTCAGATTTTCTGATTTCTTAGTGTCATTTTGATCACATGCTCTCACCATTTAAACATTGGCTGCTTGAGGCAGTCCTTATTGTTTAATACTCCATATAATGTTGCTCTCCTTGAGAAGTAAGCAGAGAGTACTTTAGGTGAATAATCAGATCCATTTTGAGGTTAATACTTACACTTTTCCTTTTTCATTCCCTTTGGTGAATTGGGCCCGGTTAACTTTACTGTAGTTTTTCTTTGAGTAAGGACCAGTTCTCTAAAACGACCTCTTTGTTGTTCTCATGTAAGTCTAGAATTTAACATGGTATAAATATTTTAACTGAAGGTCCTTCTTCATCAGAATGAAGTAGATTGAAAAAATAGTTTCCTAAGGAAATAGTTACATGAAAAATTTTGTCAGGGATGCACTGTAGAACTCAGGATCTCCTGCTTATTTATTCATTGTCAAAGCAGTACAATTAAAATGCCTGCTTCAGATACTAATTATGAAAGTTGTATAAACAATGTCGTTTGAATGATGTTAAAAGTAATAATGGATGCAAATATCAGATTGAGTATGGGCACTGGATTCTGAAGTCTTAGACTTCACTGTTGAGCTCTGTCAGTTTTTGGCTCTGTGATATTGATCAACTTAATTAACCTCTCTGAGCTTCTATTTTCTTATTTGTCAATATGGTTAATAATACACTGTTAAAATGATTAAATGAAATTATTTTAAAAAGCAGGTAGAGTCACTGGCAGAGTAGCAGCTCTATAAATCATGTCAATTGTTTGTATTTTAATTGTGCATCCATGTGTCAGCTATTTCTGGAATATGCTGTTGATTGAAATAGAATTTAAGTTCCCAGTTCTGCCTCTTTGTTGTTCTTCTTGGCAATACTTTATCATTTTGAGATGTAGAACGGTTGAGACCCCGCAGACTTTCAATGAAGAGTAGTTCACCTTGTTGATATTAGTAAAAGCAATAAAAAATTAGTAAATAACACTCTAATTTCAGAGACGCTGGAGGAAAAATCTTGTTAATGACAATTTCACTACATTTCCAAACAGTCGTAAGTGAAAATTGGAATCGTTTGAAAATTATGAAAATACGAAAACTTACTATTAATGATTACATAACTTACCAAGGGAACTGAAGACCGTCATGTATTGCAATAAATTATGCAAATACATGAATCAAAGAGAAAACACTCATAATGTAATATTTGTCCAAATGAATGAAAATATGAGAAATATATTACCTGATACTATTGAATTTTAAAACTTAAAAAAACAATAATGGTAGGGTTAGAACTGGAACTCTACTCTGTGGATTACCAGTACATGGTTCTTTTCACTTACTGCCACTTACTGAGTTTTTAAATGAGTTTGAAAATTGTATAATGAGAGCAGTTTTCAAATTAAAAATTTTAAATTTAATTTGTTTCTGTGCTGGGTATCGAACCCAGGACTTCTCACATTCTACCAGGAGGCAAGCAGTGTACTATTTGAGCTATAGCTTCAGCTGCAAAACACTTTTTATAGTTAGATGCTAATTTTCCTTTTCAGCTGGGATCCACTCCACATGTAAACGGTACACACAGATTCTAATAGTCTTGTAGAATATTGTCTTTTAGTTAATCTGACATATTAGAATTACTGTTCTCTGTACAGTGGATAGAAAGACATTATCATGAGTAGAGTTGAAGATTTTAACTTCTGTAAACCAAGTAGAATTTCAGTTTGTTTTTCTGGGAGGAGATTCCACTCAGAAACATTTCTCTGCTTTTATCTCACTCTTGAGTGATAAGAAAGGGTGATGATTGGATGTTCTTTTTAACATTACGTGTATTTCATAGAACTCAGTGGAAATAGTGATAAAAATGTTTACTTAACCATAGTTATTAATGTATATGTGTAGGGAAAAAAGCCTGGAAGATGTAATAATGTATTTTAATTAGGACCAAACTATCATAGTGAAGTAAAGTTAACCCTCAGAGGGCTATTTTAAATGAAGACCAGTTTATGAAAGATTGGCTTCAGAAAACTAAATGACTTGTCATTACTTACAGCTTCATATCAATTAATCCCTCAGTTGGGGGGTTGGGGAAGTGGCTCAGAAGGTTCATTCCATTTCAGTCCTGATTGTTGTTCCTCAAAGGGCCTCTTGTGTGTAACCCATGTCATCCAAACAGGTGCCAGAATATCAGTTTTTGAAAATGCAAATTTTTAAGGGAATTGCCATAATGGAAAGGGACTTGTGCATACATCTGTACAAATGGCACCATTCTGTTATTAATGGGAGATTTACTACTGTAGAAATCACTGTAGAGCAGCATGGTAGAAATGTACTTGTATTTTAATTCAAGAGCCCAGGCTTGCATTAGAACATCGTTGGGGTTGTGCAGAAAGTGAATGGCACCCACGGGACTCCAGCACTCGGCTAGACTCAAGGGCCTTTAACAGTGCAGTATTCCAATGGCAGTTAGGGTAAAGGACATGAAAGAACTAATCTTTTCCTTTACTTCCATAATAATTTATGAATGGGAACCAAAAATAGTTGTGATACTGGCATCATTGTTCTAAATAGATGACTTTTTAAATCAGAAATTTAAGTTCACTGAATGACTTTTCAGAGTTCATTTAATGAAAGATAGTAAAATAGGATGCCTACTTCCAGGTTTAATTGCTGCATACTGCTGTTAGGGAATTATATCCCCTGTATAGATGAACACTCAAGTAATGGTAGAAATGTAAACACCAGCTTATTGTTTTTATAACCATTTGGAATGATTATAAAACTGCATATGTTTTATGGCTATATGCTACTGTTATAAGCATTATTTCAGTTACTTGTTAATAAGTATTAGTTATATTTGACACTGTTTTTTAGGTTTCATTGTTCATCCTTTGACATAAGGCACGCTAGTTACTTTTTTTTTGGCATGGTACTTGGATTGAACTCAGGAATGCTCCAGGACTGAGCTGTATCCTTTTATGTCCCAGTCTTTTTATTCATCTATCAAATTATTTTTGGCCAGCATTGCACCAAGTTACCAGGCTGTCCTAGAACTTACAAGCCTCCTGCTTCAGCCTTCTCTGAGTAGCTGGGACTGCTGGCACATGCCACTGCCCAGCCTCTGCATAAGCCTTTGCCATAATTAAAAATATAGAGACGGTTTTGAGAAATTAGCTGATAGTATTTGATAGTGTAATATAAGTGATATTTACAGACTTGTTTTGGCTTTCCAGAGTGCTCCACAGCGCCCCACACCCTGCCTCACCTTTGTATTTTCTATTCAGAGTATGGGACTAGAGTTTTAGCTTGGTGCTTGTTCATCTAGGCATAGTGTTTGTAACACGTTAGAACTGTGCATCCCGAGCAGTCGACATTTTATTAGACTTTTATGTAACTGGAAAATCTTCAGACAGACCCGTTTTTTAAGATTGCACACTAGATGGCAGTTTTGTCATATTCTTCTAACTTCAAATGCTGCCAGTGTGAGGAGAACGGGAAAGGCCAGCAGTGTTTAGTCTGCACTGGAGGGTCTCCGCATGACCAGTGCAGACCCCATGGACTTCCTGGAACACATGTTAGCAATTTAGCTGCAGACATTTATTTCTTTGTTTCACTGCGTGGCTCTTTGAGAACGTGTTGGTGCCGGGGTGTGGGTTGTCTGGATCATGTCAGAGGCCGTGGGGATCAAGTTCATGTGACAGGCCAGACTCGGGAAAGATGACGCTGGAGGAGGTGCGGAAGCTGACCCTCACTTTCAGCAGCGACAAGTCATTGCCTGTCTGTGGACGGGGCCAAGCGCCGGGTGTTTTAAGTTTTACTCCAGCTGAACAAACAAAACACTCTGCCCATTTGGCTTTTTCATATTTCATCAATGGTAGTTCACTCAGATTTCTCTGTTTTTCAAACCTTATTTATCTCCCCTTTTTGCAGCACTGTCCAGAAGAAGCGACGTTGAAATCTTGGGCTACTGCATGCTGCGGTGGTTATGCGGGAAACTTCCTTGGGAAAAGAACCTGAAGGACCCTGTGGCTGTGCAGACTGCTAAAACAAAGTAAAGCTTTGCAAGCGCTTCCTCATTCACTGCAACAGGACGGAGGGTCCCTAGAGGACTTAATATCTCAGAGTAGATCACCATTCATCTACATGACAAAGCAGATGGATTTAATTTGGAAAAAAAACAATGAAGAGACATAAATTCCATTAAGATAACACCTATAAAATTAGCTGTACTGGCATTACAATACAAAATATAAAGTGAAATGTCTGTTCCTTTATAGGGTGTTTTCCAGAACTTAGATTATAGGTGGTAATGTTTGCAAGGAAGAGTACTTTCAAATTAACATTGTAGGGGTGTGCAGATGTAGTCCAGGTGTAGAGTGATTGATGTTAACTGTGCAAAGCCACAGTGCGGAGTGGGGCAGGTACGGCCGGCGATTGTCAGGGAAGAACAGCATACCTGTTATTACTGTCTGGGAGACAGTGTGTTTCATTTCTTAAGGAAGAAACAAATTTTATATGATCTGTTTATATGAGTTAGTCTTATACATGAACATTTTTAATAATCTGCATTCAATTTTTTACTATTTGGATTCTATTAGCATTAAGAATTAGGTCAGACTTAGAGTCTGTGACTGTTTGTCACTTCTCTCACTGGTCAGGCCTCAGGAAAAGTCAGTTGGAGTAGCACACAGTAGCCAGTTTTTAATTATATAAAGATCTGCTTGATAGCCGTTATCCACAAATATCAAAAATGTCAAAGGCAGGTTAAGTAGGATAAGTCACAACAGAAGGAAACAGAGAGGACAGTGTAGTCATAGAAATTAGTCTGCAAATGCAGGGTAGTATCAGTTCTTAAGAAAGACTGTACTATATGTTATATTTGTAAATATAAGTAATGTTTATAAATATATATGTATATATAAAATATATGTGTATGAAACATATCTCTACTTGGAATCCTGATCATCCTAGTCCCTTACCCCAGGCTAGCACATTTATAATCAGTTATTTATCTCAATGATTAATGTTCCTCAAGGAAGTGATAAACTCCAAACTTTGTATCAGGTCAGAGCCTTAGTAGCACAACTTGCCAATCTAGTTTACCTAATTTGAATAATGTACTTTATGTAAAGATTAGCACTTTAATGCTAATGGTTCTATCCATAGTTTTGTTTTTAATAAGGCTTACCAATGATTTTAGTCTTACATGCATATCCAGATGTGTTCATTGTACGCATGTGTACTCAACATGTCTATATCATATTATATTTGTGTATAATATGTTATATAAATATAAGGCTTTCATAAGTCAACTATAACTGCCATTTATTGCTAGGATTTGATAAGTAAAAGCCTATAGAATAGTAATGCTAATATAATAAACTTCATAACCCAAATAAACTGAATTTAAACTTTCAACATTTTTAAACATCTTATAGGGTACCGTATGTGAGCATAATTTATTTGATTTACTGAGATGGTATAACAGTTTCCCCATAAGGACATGATTGCATATTCATCCATCACATTGTGTATTTCCCTCCCTTACACATCTTAGATCAGTGCATTTCCCTTAGATCAATGCATTTACCATTGCTATTTTGTCTATGCCTGAGTCTGTGAATCATTCACTTATCTCAGTAATTTCAGATAGATATGTATGTATTTGTGCTAAGGCAATTTAAGAGAGTTGTACTTATTTAAAATAGTAGAAAGTGCTTACAAACGATGTTTTAAAAATATTTCTTATTTACCTGTTTTGTTATAAATTAGCATAAAACATTACCCAGTGATGAACAATCTATATAAATAATTAATTCCTCTCCAGTGGTAAATATTTGAAGAGCAATACCAATATCCCTATTTCTGTATATACAAAGTTTGTATTAAATTTTACATCATTTGGCGGGTAGGTGGGCCATTGTAAAGTGGGTCAATGGGAATCGAGACATGGGTTCCACTTCTATATAACCTCCCATCTATTACATTATAGATGAGTGAATATAAAGACCCTGAAAGGCACAGTTTTGGTCCTCTCCCAACACAGAGTTAAAACAGTGAGTCTCGGGAATGAAAGCAAACTCATTGTGTATTACTCCATTTTGTTTTAGTCTGTTGGATGAGCTTCCCGGGTCAGTGCTCAAGTGGGCTCCGTCTGCAAGCAGTTGCTGTAAGTCGATGCTAACTTTCTTTTCCGTTTGTAGGTCACCACATGTGTCACTCTTGTTTTGTAGCTTTTGCTTAACTCATGCACTCCTGTTCCCATGGTGTGGAAGGAGGCTTCTGGGGTGCAGATAGGTTGCTAGAGAAGAAAATGTTCAGGTGGTCTTTGACATCAGAACTCAAGAACCCTTCACAACTGATGAAGGTGGTACTCTAGGCTCTGCTGATGGTGCTTACTTTAGAGAAATATTTTAAGCATCATGTACAAGCTTAATGTTCCACTGCATCTGATCTTTCTAGTTTCTGTCTTCTAGTTATGACTTTTCTGGTTTTGTTCATGTATCTCTTGTTGAAAGAAGTGGGCCTTAAAAAAGACTACTTTCAATCAGTAATTTAAAAAACTAAATTGTTAAACACTTGAATGTTGTTTAGATTTCAGTTGCTCTATAATGGAACAGACAGCAGAGTTTAGTTTAGTTTAGTTTTGTTTTGTTTTTGTGATCAGCAGAAACACTTGATCTTGGGATTTGGAGGTATCTTTCATAAATGGTTTTCTCATTCAAGCTTGTGCCAAATTTTTTGGCATTCTTTAAATCACAATATTGTTAATATAAAATACTAAGTCAACTTGGACTTACCCAGTCTCCTGTCATTTATAGATGCATCTGTGACACATTACTCAGTGCTCATTTGATAATTGTGTTACGAAAGAGTCAGCTCACTCTGCCATCAGACATGCATGTTGTCAGAGACAGGGGAGCAGAATGAATGTTAGTATCTGTTTACCGGGCATCCTCAGGGTTAGCTTTTCACTGACTTCTGGAGGTAGATATGTAGACTTATCCTCTACGTAAGGTCAGATAGTAAGTGTCCATTTGCAAGTTGAAAACAGTTTTCTTAAACTTACTTTTACAGCCTTTTTTCTCTTTTTTTTTTTTTTGTTTTTTAATTAGAAGCCAAAATTTTTATTAGTGGAGGACAGGAAAGAGAAACAACTTTATTTTTCCACCTTCCCTTCATAAATCCCACAATCTGCTTTCTGTTTTCTGTGGAACTTTTCTTTTGACGGAGCGTACCAAGCAAGAGATTTATTCAGGGAAATGTTCTGGAAGTTGAAAATTTTTGTTCTTATATACGTATTAAATAATCTGGCCAAAATGAAAATGTTCCTTTTTGGATAATATTCTTATTAGCATTCTTGCTAAGTCATATAGTCTGCTTTATTTAGTGGGACAGAGAAAAAGAGAGGTGGCAGAAATGTTTCTTTGTCAAGTTCTGTGTCTCCCTTAGTTTCTTGTACTTAGTTTTCTTGTACAAAAGGTAACTGGCTTGGGATTCGAAAAGAAAGCTCAGTCGCCCTGAGTTTTACAAAACAAATGCTTGTGGGCCAATGTATGTGCCATGATACATCTATTATTAATCTCAAAGTTAAGATTTGAGTCATATGAAAAATACAAATCAGAGGCACACCTGTTTCCTCTTTCTCCTTACAAAGCATTTATTTGATTTCATACTATACTTATAAAATGGACATTTCTATTTCTGAAATGCCAGAGATTGAAACTTTAATACGAAATTAAATTCTCTTAATTTTGGAGGTTGTGCTTAGAAGCAGAACAATGAAAATTAAAGGTACTGATTTATAGAACATTTGTTACTAAGACATTTCATAAAATTGAACAGCTATGGAGTCTGCAGCATGCATGTCTAACTCAATGTAATAATAATTTCCAAAGTTTTTATCTCTTGAAACGATAGTAATGATAATATTTCACTAGCTTAAAAAGCAGATGATTCAAGAATATCATAATTTCATGGTAGTCAAAGCATTTTGTTTTATAGTTTTGGAAATATGTTAGTTAATTTTAAAAAATATATTCAATATCGAAATTCCAGATCTTGAAAGGCTGACATTTAAAACCGGACCACATCACAATCGTCAAGCTTCAGATTGTAATAATAACTCACAGCAGAGGTGGTGCTTTTCATTTTCTGTTTCTGATATCTCACTGCACTTCATTTTTCCATACCTCTGTCCCAGGAAGGTTTTGCAGCACAGTTCCTTATCAGTTGGTGGAGTGCCAGAAGTTATAAACATTGTCTGCTAATGATACAGGGGAAGCACGCGTAACTCCCAACCTGCTGGGTCTTAGATACGCAGAGTTCATGTTCCCCAAAACCAAAGAATGAAGTCTATGGAACAACGGAGGTTAAGAGTAGAAAATAGTTTTAAAAAAAGAGTTGAAAATGTTTATTAAGCAAGAGAGAGAGAGAGCTCCTGAGAGACAGGAGGGGACCTGAAAAATGAGTTGCTGCAGACACCATGTTACAAAGTAAGTTTTATAGAACAAAATCACGATGTGGGAGCAAAATCACAAAGTGGGGACAATGCAGGCAAAGTTGTAATGTGTTCTCATCTTTTGTACTGACTCCCCCAAAGGCCTCGTCCTATCTAACTGCCTGCAGTATCTGTACCTGCCTTGGCTGTCTGTGATAATAACAGCGATTAATTCTCAACAAACTCAGCTGTCTCCTTCATTTAGGATATGCCTGTTAATAGAATTGTAGTATGCATCAAACTTGGCTTACCAGTCTTCATAAGGCCAAGTGGCCCAGGATTTTTTATTAAAATGGTAGCAAATACAATTTCATTTGTTTTGTTTTTGATCAGACCTTCAGGAATTGGATCCCGCACCCCCACGTGGGCTCCAAGCAACAGCAGTCATAGATGTGATGGTAAAGGAGCAGCAGTTGTAGTTGACAAAGATTTGGGTGACTGAATGCTCGGTAACAGAGTTGATAAATTAGAGTCTCATAAATTAGAAAGGAAAAAGTAGGTTGCATAATTGTTACATTGTCTTGGGGAAAGAACAGCCCAGAACCCAGAAAATGTTTGTTTTATCATTAGCTTTATGTTTCTAGAAAATAGCTTTGGACTCTGTGGAGTAAGATGGTCACTTTGATGTTAACAGGGAGAAAAGGGAGGCAGATCATTCCTTTTGGGGTTTTTCCCCGTAGAGGGTAAACGCACTACCCTGTGGGCTCTATCAGAATGAGGCAGGCCCGAGCAAAGGGAAGGCGTACTAGGACATCATTCCTGCCAGCCTTTGGAGCTTCCTGGATTTCTCGCACGGGATGTAAGCAATTAAGTGGAAAAGTGAGAGGAACTTGTCAATAATGCATTCTTAGAGGGAAGGAATAGCTAACAAACGGAAACCTGCCAGATTTTATACATAGTATTACTAGTTTTCTGTCTTAATTTTAGATTAAACTTCCACCAGAAACAAAAGTGCAAACACAAAGCATTTCACTGAAGCTGTTTATAACTTTTGGTTACTAATTATGCTTGAATTTAAAAGCTTGTGGGCTGAGGGGAACATGTGGCTCCACGGTAGAACTTGCCATAGCTGAAGCCCTGGGTTTGATCCCTAGCACTACAGAATTAAAATTAAAAGAAATTCAAAAAATAAAATTAGTTCATTTCTAGTGAAACATGTTTTCATATTATCCAGAAAATTAAAGTGAGAACTCTACATCCTCCGGAACTAAAGCCAAGAAGTTTGCTGTAAATGCACAGGGCTGGCTAGGTGTGCGTTTAGGGGAAGCTGTGTGCTCTGGCACCGAGATGCACTACAAGCATGGAAGCCAGAGTCATTAATAAATGTAGGGTAGTGGCATGCAGTGTGTCCTTTCTTCCCTTGGAAGTCAGGTTTATAACAAGTAAAGAGTTGTTTTTAACTGAAATTTTTAAAGTCGAAGAAAAAACATGACTCAAGATGTCTGATCTATAATGTTATAGTCCTTAGTAGCTATATACCTCATAAATCAAAATCACTGACTATAATTTTAATATTTGCCTCCTCACCTATGATTAGTTAATTGTAAATATATCAATTTTTGTTAAAAATTACCAGTTGTAGATTACATATTGTCATTTTAAAGTGCTTTTAATTGAATTGATCATTTTTAGTTTTTTAGGATGCATTATGAGAACAGAAAAAAGATTTTTAAAGCTATTAGTTTTGATAATTGTTGCTACTTACAAGTGACATGTAAATTAATACTTTAACAGGTGAAATAGCCCAGTTTTTGTCATGTGTTCATAGTTTAGCTTATAATGAAAAGCCAAACTATCAAAGGCTGAAGAAAATTCTAAACCCAAGTGGAATACCTTTAGGACCGCTGGAGTTTTCCACGAATGGACAGAGTGTAAATGCACATACTCCAGCCAATCAAAAAGTAAGTACTCCAATCCCTGGGATCTTACATTATCTTCTATGAATCTTTTCTAACAAATGCAGTTGTTTTAGGTCTCAAGGTGAGTCTCAAACTCAGGTTCTTTTATCATTATATTCAACTTCTATTTCCACAAACTCAGCACCAGAAAGGCACGTTGAAAGTTCTTTTGACCCATTGTCTCTCAAACAGTAAAATTTGTGGCCTAATGTGTACTGTTAAAAAAAAATTCACACGGTCACCCATGTCCTGGATCTCTAACTATGGTAATGTTAAGGCTAATCTGACTTGATTCATGAGAGCCTCTATGTGCTTCTTTTCTTTGGGTTTTCTATAATTATTACCTTCTATTTTTGCCTACCAAGTTGGCCATAGCTTGGTGCTAGATAGTGTTCATGGGTGTTATTTTTGTCTGCTGATATTTCAACCTATAGGAACAATTCTTTAAATAAAGTATCACACTTCCTCCTTTATTCTTCCATCTTCCAACAGACTCCCTCACACCAATTTTAAAAATAAAAACAAGAATTTAGAAACAATACAAAGAATTAGGACTTCACACGTTTTTAAAAGAGGTGGTATAAATCTGAAACTGCTTACGACGTTATTGGACAGGCAATTAAATGTCTGTTTTTTCCTTGATTATCCATATGCAAAAAAAAAAAAAAAAAACCTGCAGAAGGCATATTTTCCTAATGCATGTACAATAAGGGAGGGTCAGGATGCCATTCATTTTTAATATTTCTTATGAACTTTGGATCATCACAAGTGTTCATGAGCCAGGAATGCAGGATGCAAACTAATGTGACTGATAGGCTGCTAGATGAATGGTGAGTCAAGTATCAGTGCACAGATGGTTCTGATTTGCTGAATTTTGTAGCTGCCGCAACTGAAGACATAAAATATCCTTCTAGTCATAAATTAGCTCTTTGGAAGCAAAACCTTGGCACCAGAGCTTTACAACCTTCAATTAGTAGGAAAAGAAGTATTTGAATGACTGTGGTATTGACATCTGTAGGCCTGCATAGTAATCATTCCTAATAGAAGAGAATATCTGTTTGAGAAGGTTTTGCATGGCTAATTAACTACCAGTGAGAATATGTAATTTTTTCATGATCTCCTGATTGTCACCTTTCTCTCATGATACAATTACATTTTATTGTAGCAAGTGCCTCACAAACCAATTGTCAGCACTATTTACGTATTGCAGAAGGCAGAACAAAAGTTTATGTTTAATAAAAAGCCACTGGATTTTGATCTTGGTAATTACTGAGACTTATTCTAACAGTTTTATTGACTTTTGTATTTTTATCACTTTTCCAACAAAACAAAGAGGCATTTCCTTGACACAGTGTTTCTCTTGCAGTAATGGTCACCACTTGATCTACACTAATTTAAATAGATATTTTTTCTTTTTTGTAGTTTTTCAGTTTCATAAACTTAATTGAAATATAAAAGAAGCCATTTAAAAAACCAGTAACTATATCCATTCCTATAAAATTCTAATTATTATCTACCAGGATTTTCATCAAATTTGAAGGGTGTTTACGGTAGAGCCACTTTAATATGCAGAGAATAGAACATAAAACATTTTCCCAATGAGCGTCCATCAAATATATTTTATTCCTTTTGATTAGAACACTTTGGTTATAATTAAAAAGAAAACACTTAAGAATAACATGCATTTGTAAGAACTTCATGTTTGTTAATGATTTCAGCTTGGATGTACAGATAGTAAGATTAACATTTATTAATGACTTGATTTCTCTAGTATTATAAATGCATAGTAATGAGTATAAAATATAGTTTCACATTTTATGGCTATACTTTTAAATATCTTAATTTTTATTTTTAAAATTTACAGATTTTATGATGCTTCAAAATTCAAGCCTAAAAATGTTCAAAACATAGCAGGACAATGTAAACTGTTCATTTTTCCTGAATAATACAGTTATATGGTGATTTTCACAATAGATTGTTTCTATTAAACAGTAAGTTAGAGGCCACAATGAGTATCAACTACCTGGTCCCAGATTCCTTTTTAGTCTCAAACTTTACTAGTAATTAAAAACATTTCTTGTTACTCGGTACAGTGTATGGATCACTTTAGTTGTTTAATGGACTGGAATGAATTCTGAACTTAATTTTTTTGGACAGAGATACTTAAAAAGAAGCTGTTGGAGCAAGAAAAACTATTTATACTACATAGGTATAAATAAAATGTTTGAAAGGAAGAAGTTGTAAATGTTTAATTTTTAACATGGTACTTAGTATAAGAGAAACACTGAGGGAAATTGGTTACTCTTAACAGAAACGTGTGCATTAGGTATTACAAAGGAACAGACCTCCATAAGAATCACAGCAGAAGCAAAGCAGGCATCATGAACTGATCGCAGTAAAATGAGTCCTCTTTTTAAAGTCCTCAAATACTGTTACTGGAGTTAATTTGGAAATGAAATTTCATCAAGATTATGGAAATACTGAATTTTTTTCCTTGAGTAGCAAATATTTTGGTTATTTGCACTGAAAATGAAGTGCATATAACTGAAGTCACTTGTGAGTGGTTCTGGCCACTCCTGTCAATCGAATTAAAACTCTGCCATCAGAGCTACACAGTCTGTTTGTGCCACTCGGGAAGTCTTTGTTGTTGGTGGTGGCGCTGCTGCTGCTGCTGGGAATCTCACGAGCCTGTGACCGCCAAGCACACACTACCATTTGACCACTTGGACTACACCTCTGGCTCTGACTGGCATTAATGTCCAATTCCAGTGAAGAAAACCATATGAGTAAGAATGGCTTACTGAGGTGAATCTCTAGAATTCTCAAGTGATATGTTAAAGCCAGGTTGGAAAATAGCTTGAAGGCCTTTGAATAAGAGCCATAGGTCATTTATCAGTTTTATCACTGTGTCCCCCATTATGGTGCTTGAGTCCATATTGTCACTATCAATGAGTCACCCATCCTTCTAAATACGTTACCGAAACCTTCAAACTATCCTACAGTTCAGATAATAAAAGTATGTCTTTTTGTCCACCCTTAGTTTGAATTCCTCGGCAAATCCAGGGATGAATGGATTACTGGTAGTAAAACTCTTTGTATAGAACGTACCTGTTTATGAAATTACTTCTTGAACTTTAATCTCAAACTAAGCCTGTGAATTTACCTTCCTGTTTATTTTCTGTATGTAAGGAACGTGGAATACTTATTGTTGATTGGAAGCGTATTTCTGGTTTATTACTTTTTAAAAAAGTATTCTTGATTTAATAGGTCAGTTGGAAGTTTCATTGGAAACTACATAAAAGCTACCTCACTTGAATAGTTATTTTTCATGAAAATGACACATACTTGAATAGTATCCTTCTGTTTGATTATGTGGGATGTCTGGAGTATTTTCTGAATTTGTTTTTGTAGCTATGGGAAAAAGAAAGTTGCAGTCTGTTTACAATTAAGAAGTAGACTTATTCACTATATGTTATTCTTACAAGTTTACCTAAAAATAGAAATTTCCCATGAATGAGATACCATTTTATGACCTAAAAGTTTCTATGGCAGTGCAGCTCAGCCGTTTGACCAACTGACAGCTCATCCAGGAAGCATTTTCTCTTCCAGGAAGCATATAGAGCCTGTGTAAACCAAATATATTATGCCAAAAACTCCCAAGTCAAAATCTGGTACCTTAAATGCTTAGCATACTGTAGTCACTAAAAACCTCTTATCATACCTCAACTGAAAACAGAACAATTGTATAGTCCAGCCGTCTCACTTCTGGGTGTGTACCCAAGGAAATGAAGTCATGATCTGAAACAAATCACTGCACCCATGTTTACTGCAGTGTCATTTACAATAGCTGAGATATGGAAAGAACATCCATTGATGGATGAATGCAAAATGAAGATATTATACTAAGTGAAATAACCCAGGGTGGGAAACACAAATACTTGATAGTATACTGATATGTAGAATCTAAAAGAAAAAAATCTAACTTACAGAAAGCAGAGTGTAGAACAGTAGTTCTCAGAGACTGAATCTTGAGAACATTGGGGAATATTAATCAGGCATACAAACTTCCATTATAAGATGAATCAGTTATGGAATCTATATTATAGTGACTATTGTTAATATTATATACTTGAACTCTGCTAAAAGAATAGATGTTGTGTTCTTAACATACACAGAAATGATGATGGATGATGGACTGTGGTAATAATTTCACAATATATAACATACATCGAAACATTTTATAACTAGGCATGGTGGTGCACACCCATAATCTCAGTAGTAATCTGAGGCAGGAGAATCACTTCAAGTTCAAGTATGTACCCCAGTCAGTATGTACTAAGTTCAAAGAAAGTCTGGATGACAAAGGAGACCCTTTGTGAAAAACATTTTGTGAACTATGTTTAATTTTTGTCTATTAGATCAATAAATGTAGGAGATTCTCAACTAATCTTTATTTTACATAGCCTATTTTTAAAATGATTGCTGAAACAGCTTTAAAAGGCTACAACAGCACCAAGGGAGTTGGGAGAAACTTTGATTTGTACAAGTGGTGTGATGTACATTTATTCCTACATAACTTGATTGGAAGGGTACCTCAGACAATGGTGACCCCTCAGTTTTCCTAGTAGTTTGAAAGGGCTGTGTGGTAAAAATAAAGAATCTCTGTGGGGTCAGGGAACATTTGGAATTTACAGCTACTGAAAGGCAGTGGTTGTGCCCTTCTTTGATGAGCTGAGATGTGGGAGGAGGAAAGAATGGTGTTGTGACAACTTAGAGCCAGCCACGAAACACCAGCCTATTTTAAAGGGACAGAATGAACACACTTGGCAGTAGAACCTAAAAATTGAGAGACTACAAATTAAGGGTCTGTTTGCCCAGCCAGTGTAATTTATTCTCTCTTTTGGCATGGGCTACTCCATTATTTCCCCTTGTGCTGTTCATGTCTCCGGCTCCCATTTAACCCATGAAAAGGCTCATGACTCTTGTAGCTGCTGTAAACATGAAGCTGCTGAGCAGATACTTCACATAGGAACGGTGGAGCTTTCAGTCTGCCAGCTGTGTTGTAGGATCTGCCTTCTGTTTCTGTGTGGCTTCGAGGTTACTGTGAATCAGTCGTCACCCAGATAGCACCGTGGTGCGGGGAGGGAAGGAAAAGACTGTGGTGGAAGGTAATCTCTGGTGCTGCTGCACGTACTGGATGGCGTGAACCGCTACTTACCTTACTCAAAGGTTAAATTACCTGCATGAAAAGTAAGCAACATCACAAACTTCTTTTATACTCTCACATTAATTAGACTCACTTCAGTGATTGAAAACGACTTTAATTAATAAGAATTTAAACTACAGAGATACACTGAATCCACTTCCAGCAAAGGTTAATAATGAATTCATGTACAGTTTTAAAAGTGTCAATTTTCTGTACAAATGTTGTTTTCAGTAAGCAAGATATCTGTAGAGATAATTCCTAAAGAGTATATAACAGCGACATTAGTTTTAATTGGTTTTGTCCCATTGATAAGAAAGATCTTCATCTTTCCAACTACTGCATTTTTTATGTTGTGTTTCTTGTGCCTTCTTTGCTAAAGCTTGGCAAGTTTAGGGTTTGCAACAATCTGGACATGAATGCATTTTTTAAAAAGAAATGTCAAAATTTTTCGTTATGTATTATCCTATACTAACAGGTTGATTCAAGAAAGGCTGCAACACGACAAGTTTATCAGATACAAAATCAGTTAAAAGAAAAAGCCCACACTGAGAGAGGTGCTGAGTGCTTTCCAACAAGGAGAACAGTGCAGACAGAGGACGAGCTGATTGGACTGATCAACAATGAAGCAGCTCAGGTGAGAGGCTGTTTGGTGTTTTTTTCGTACTGTTCCATTAGAATATGCCCTTTGGGAATAAAGGTTTTTTATATTTCCTGAGGGCCAAGGTTGCATGTTTTTGTTAAAGAACAGAGAAAGTATCCTATCAAGCTGATAAAATCAAAGCAGCAAACACTATTTACTGACAAAAACAGAATAGTAGTGAGCACGTCTGTATACAGATATGATTGTTTTCTTTATCCTAATAATGAAATGCATTTGAATTCTTCTGTCATCCACTAGAGACTCTTAACCTACATATTCTATACTTTATATTGGTTTACAGTCTAATATAACTAAGGTATTTTTCGTCAGTAGATGGTATTTTAAAATGATGGGGCATCATTTGGTCATTTGGGTAGATAGTGACTCACCTTTTGCAGAGGATTCATTCAGGTTAACAGCAAAAATCCTTCTAAGCCAAACAGTGTTGATAAAGAGAATCATACAATATATTTGTATCTAGAGTAAGAAAAAATATTTAATTTTGTCAAAATGGCCAACATTTTATATAATTTACATACCATCATTTATCTCAAATGATTTGAAGTAGTTTACAATATGAAACAAGATAATTTAATAGCCCCACCTTTTACACCTTCTGTCCAAGAAAAATTGATGCTTTGGGCAGGTAGCATGTTAATCACTACACTAATTGCTGAATTCGGCTTTGAACTTCTTGGAACCCAGGTAAAATTAGACATGCAGTAGTTACACATTTCCTCATTCAACCAGCAAGCATAGAAGTTTATGTAGAGATAAATGCTTTAATGCTGAGAGACATTTTTACATTTATTCTGATACAAACTAATAGTGTTTATTGTTTTATTTTAAATTTATATAATAAAATCTACTTCAAATGGGCATGTTGTATAGTTCTCATTTGTAAAGTTAAAGATAAATTACTGGTTGGTGATAAAATTTAGAGGTTCTAAATCTTTATTGAAAAAAGTTTCTCAGCTCTGAACTACGCATCAGAAACACCTGTATATAGGATAGGGAGAGACCATGCTCAGGTTTCAAGCTAAGAAATGAATTGGTTGTGACAGGTCTGACTGGGATTTGTGGGACAGATTTTATTCTGAAAATTCCTTTGTTCCTTTTCCCAGTCAGTCTTCCTCTAGCAGCAACCTCTGTTCTGACATTTTGATTCTCATCTCTTGACTCATTTTGACACTTCTTGGAATTCATATATATGCAGTCATATCTGTGCATTACTCTGTATAGATTCCTTCATTCAGTCTGTTTTTGAGATTTATCTGGTGTCATGCAGATATCAATTTTATCTTTTTCATTGTTGAGTAGTACTCCATAAAATAACTCATACATAATGTATGTAATTTACATTTTATTAATGGACACCCCGGCTGCTTCAGATTTCTGACCTATGTGAATACAGTTGATAAAAATATTCTGATTTAAGTCCTGTGGACATGTTCCATTTCTCCTGAGAAGTGGAATTGCTGTGTCACAGGCTAAGTTGAAAAAAAAAGCAGTAACAGTGACCAAAAAAAAAAAAAAAACTTAGAAATGTTTCTTGAATGCAACTGTACCATTTTATACTCCAGTACTGTACAAGTGTATTTCACTGTAGCTACAGTTACTTATCTGATGACTGGTTTTGAGCACTTTGTGTTACTCGCCATTCTTATGAAGTGTCCTTCCAAATATTCACTCAAATTATTTTTCATATTTTCGTGTCTTTTCATTGTAATCCATAGTAGTCTTTTATGTGCTGTACATATAAAACTCCCACCTGATATTTGTACTGTGGGTGTCCTAATAGTTTTCTCTGTAAGTAAACCTGAGAAATTTTTTCTTTTTCAAGATCACAAAGTTATTTTGCTGAATATCTTTTTAGAAGACTCAGTTTCAGCTGGCATTTTGGGTCTAAGACCTATCTCAAAAATCAGTTCGCGTGTATAGTATGACGTCAGGGTTGAGGTTCATTCTTTTTTGTAGATCTAGGCAGTGTCTTATTACACCATCATTTGCTGAAGATATTTCTGTTTCCAATTCAGCTTCTTTGGGACCACTTTTTAAAAGTCAGCAACGTGTCCAAGTGTCGGCCTGTATCTAGACTATTTTCTGTTACTTGTCTGCTGTACCGGGACTGCACTGCACGTGTTAGTGTAGCTTTACATGAAGTCCTGAAATTAGGGATGCAAGCCCTTTCAGATTTTTTTGTCTTTCAAGAATGCTTTGGGCATTTTAGGTCCCAGTGCTCTCTGTGCGGGTTAAGTTTGTCAATTTGATTGGTTTGGAGCTGCGTGGAGGATTAGTGAGACATTCTTACGGGTGTGCAGGGTGGGTCTTGGAGGCACGCCTGGCTCTCTCAGCCTGTTCTCCTGCCCCGCTTCCTGCCACCCTCAACTGAGCAGCTTTGCGCTGCCACATTCTCCTGCTAGGAGGTTTCTGCCACAAAACTAGCTGACCATGGACCAAAACCTCGGGGTCAAATAAACCATTTACACCTTATGTTGTAGGTACTGGGTATTTGGTTCCATCAACAGGAAAAAGACTGTTATACTCTCATAAAACTGAAAAACTAGTTGTCACTTTCCACAAAAAATTAAATCAAATTAAAAAATAAAAGTACGATGGAATTTTGACGAAGTACATTAAGTGTAAAGGTCAGGGGGCCAAGGATTTAGCTCAGTGGCATAAGCACCAGATTGGCAAGCACAAGGTTGTGAGTTTGACCCCTGGGACCAAAAAATTAAAGGTGCAAAGGTCAGTGTAGGGAACACTGGCATCCCAGCATCTTTGAGTACATGAAACTGGTGCTTGTTTCCATTCATGTGGGTCTTTAATTTCTCACAAAGTTTTGTAGTTTTTAGTAGAGATGACTTACACATCTTCCATTAAAATGATCTCTAGATGGTCTACTTTTCAATCTATTGCTAAGAAAACTTTTAAAATTCTTATAATTCCAGTGACTTATTGCTAATATTTGGAAATAAAAAAAAATTTTATGTTCATTTTTTTTTGTATCCTGGGACCACTCCATTTATTAATACTTTTATTTTTAGAACCTTGAGATACTTTATATTTATATTTCAATTCTTCTTCTAAACATATGTGCCTCTAATGTGTGGTGATAATTTTGCTTTTGACCTACTGAATCTGCCAGCACTTCTAGTGCTACACTGAAAAGAAATTAGGAGAGTCATTCCATTGTAGGAGGAAGACAGTGCATGTTAGCTGTGAGTTTTTCCGTTTGGACATCAGCCTGAGGAAATCTTATTGCATCTGTAGTTTAAATGTATTGAAAAACACATTTAAATGTTGAATAAATGTGAAATTCTTTTTTGAGGTCTATTGAGATGATCATATGACTTTCCTCTTTTACTAGCATGATAAATTATATTGATTTTTGAATGTTAAATCAAGTTTTTGTTTCTAGGGAAAATCTGCTTAGGATGTGTTCCACCGAATTCAATTTGGTGTATTTCATTGATATTGATGAAAAAAAGTGTTTAATTTTATTTAATTTCAATATCCTTGTGTGATTTATTTCTAGGGTTATGAATCAAGTTGAAGTACCTCTGTTTTCAGAAAATATTTTTCTAAAACAAGTCTTCCTTAAATGTTGGCTTGGATTTAACATGGAAACATTGTGAGCTGAGTCTTGCTGTAGGATAGTTCTTAACTGTGAATTGCTTACTTCAGCAGATATGCTGGTCACTAGAGTTTCATTTTCTTCTTGTGTCAGCTTGATAATTTGTATTATACGAGTAATTTGATGGTCTGTTGAATTTATTGTCATTAGGCCAGTAATATTTTCAGGTCATCTTTTTAACATTTCTAGTATCTGTAAGGATACTCTTTATTTATTCCTACTAATTATAACTTTTGATTTCTTTCTTTTTTTCCACAGTCTAAGGACTTGTAATTTTCAAGGATCTTTTCAAAGGCTGACTTTTAATTTTGCCTCTGTTTTGATCTACTGTTGATCTGTTTTCTGTTTCACTAATTGCTTATCATTTTCTTCTGGTTGCTCTTGGTTAGTCTGTTTTTTCAAGATTCATAAGGTGAAAGTTAAAATCATTGATTTGAAAAACTTTTCCTTTCTAAAATATTAAGCTATGCATTAACTGTATTCTGCATATTTTGCTGTTGTGTTTTCATTATTATTTGGTTCAACATATTATTTGATTGAACATACTAGAACTAATAAGTGGATTTAGGATAGTTCCAGGATACAAAGCCAATATAAAAGTTTGTACATACTAGCAATAAATATCTGGAATAAAAAAATACCTAGAATATAAAAATTTTTCTAAATCAATATGGTAAAAAGTGATATTTTTTTACATGGATTGTTTAGAGATCTATTAAATCCTAGATACTTTTGAAATATTTCTAGGTATTATTTTGTTGATTTATAATTTAATTTATCATCAGAACATATCCTGTATTACTATACTTTTAAAATTCATTAAAACATGTTTTCATATCAAGCAAAAGGCATAGCTTGGTGAATGTTTCTTGTATGCTTTTAAGAGTTCCTTGTATACTTGTGTAAGTATACTGATCAGTATACTTTTAAAAAATTGAATTATTTGATAGTATTATTCAGAACTTTTAGTACTTTTTTTTTATTTGTTTTTGAGAGGAGGTGGGAATCAAATTCAGGATCTTTATTTTTTGGGGGAAGAGGGGAATTGAACTCAGAATCCTGCGCATGCCAGGCAGGCACTATGCCACTGAGCAATAACCCTGGCCCTGTTTTTATCACTTACTGACAAAGAAATTTAAACATCTTCAATTTTAACTGAATTTATCCATTTCTCCTTCCGTTCTATAAGGTTTGCCTTCATGATTTTTGATGACCTGTTATTACCTTCATACAGAGGAATGTTGTATCTTCTTGGTGAACTGACATCTTTACCATTTTTGAATGTGTTTCTTTATGCATGTTAATATTTTGCCCTACATTCTTCTTCCTGTGATTTTTAGCAGTTCTACCATTCTAG